GTCCCCCCCCATCTTCCCTCTGTTCCAGCCTTGCTCCCCTCAACCCCATGATCCCCCCCCCAGCCTGATTCCCTGCATCACCCCATGTCCCCCAGTGCAACCCCTGCCCCCTCCCATCCTGCTCCTCATCCTCCTTTGCCCCCTGTCCTGTGCCCCCAGCGCACTCACCGGCAGGGCAGCAGCGTTGGGGCTTATAGCATCCTGGGAGCCGCGGGGGCAGTCTCCCTCCCCTGCCCAGCCCTTTGCCTGCAGGCAGCGGGGCTGGGACAGGCAGAGCCCAGGGCTGCCTCCAGCCCAGCCGGGTGCAGCGGGGTGCTGGGGAAGGGGCTCCCCAACCCTGCACACAGCCCACAGGGAACAGCGTGGCGTAGCCTGGTCCCCGGCATGCCACGTGTGCTGGCTGCCCAGCCTTGGCTCTGCAGAGCAGGCCCAGCCCTGCCCCATCCCAGAGCAGGAGGCCTCTGTGTGCCTCTGTCCCCTAACCGGCAAGTTAACAAAAAGAGGGGCAGCCACCCCTTTGCTCCAGCCCAGCTGGCTGTGGCGTTCAGCCTGCCAAGGTTGTGCCATGCTCCAGCTGGGCTAGATCAAAGAGAGGCAGCTGCAAGGGGCACTGTGCTCGACTGGTTGGTGACCACTGCTCTAGATAAATTACTCTTATTCTTAACACATGATCTAAAATTTTAACATTGCACATTTTTACCATGTGAGGTTTTGTTTCTTAGTAGCTTCCAATAAGATAGTGCTTAATAACCTTCTAGTGAGCTGGTCTAAAGTGATCTATAGGTTTTATTTCATTGGTCATTGGCTCTGTCCATGTTTTCAATTATCCTAGTAAGACGTATGTTCAGAAGTCTAACTTGACTGTCAATATGGTCAATCTTCTCTTCCAGGCTGTTTCTCCCCCAGTAAAATCCAACTGGCCCAGTCATGAAGTAGACAGCTACAACAAAGCACAGCAGCAAGACTGCATGCTCTGGTTCTCCTTCATACTTCTGGAGGATGTACACGCATGAGACGGCAAAAAGAGCAACTCTTACAATCCAGAAGAAGTGACCAAACAGCATATGTAAAAGAGAGAAGAAGAATCCAAGGAAAACAGACAAAAACCAATAGGCAAGTAAAACAGCACCAATAAGCAGAAGCACATGAGTAGGGTTGTTGGCAACTGCTGCAGGGCTGAAATAATGAGTCAGGTTGGAAGCTGAAAAATAAAAACAAATTTATGAGAAATTAAAAGATAGTTTAATTACATAAGGCAAAGATAATAAGTGGTAAATTGTGAGCATAGCTAGTGAAGGGCCATACTGCAGAAGTTTCAAGGCCGTACTTTTTAAAAAGGAGGGGAAATGACTAAGTTCATCTGTTCCTGAATACTTATAAATATATATGTACCCCCTTCATAACACAGCAATCACTAGAGTATCTCTATGGTTGTAACTGAATTCACTTCAGTTAGAGAGAGGGCCACATTAGGCCAGGGCGTAAGTTTAGAACTAAGATCAAGAGTAAATTTGGGTTTCATGTAGTTATTTGTTAAGATAGATATAACAAATTTTAGATATTTGTTAAGCTGCATTCAGCATCACATAACAGAATAGTACATCCACCTTCAGTATTCAACTATTTCTACCCTTTGATTTAATTCTCCCTTGCCCCATCTTCCTTTTTTCTCCTACCCTTTCCTTACCTCTATTTCCTTTTACCCCTCTGTATTTCTTTTCCTGCAGCAACTCCATTTTATTAGATGGAATGGGATGAGGAAGAAGTCCACAGGATTAACTATCAGCAATAACAAGGGTGAGGAATCTTTTTTGGGTCGGGGGCACTGACCCACAGAAAAATCAATCAGGGGCTGCACACAAGTGCGATGCAAAAAAAACAACCAAGCCTTGGGGACCAGAACCAGGCAAGCTGGGGGCTGCATCCAACCCCCGGACCTTAGGTTCCCCACCACAAGCAATAAAATAACAAAACCTTGTAAAGAAATGGATGACAGAAACTCCATATGCATTCAAAACTGATAAAAATTATTCAGCTTCTTGGAATCTACATCCCAAAACCATTAAAAAATAAAAAAAATTAAAATGTTTTTCCAACTAAGACCAGGCAAGCTGGGGGCTGCATCCAACCCCCGGACCTTAGGTTCCCCACCACAAGCAATAAAATAACAAAACCTTGTAAAGAAATGGATGACAGAAACTCCATATGCATTCAAAACTGATAAAAATTATTCAGCTTCTTGGAATCTACATCCCAAAACCATTAAAAAATAAAAAAAATTAAAATGTTTTTCCAACTAAGTTAAGTGTATTTTTCCTCTATATGCATTACAAGCACAGTCTCCGTAATCAGAGAGCCACATATCCCAAACTTTTTCTTCAAAATTCACACAATGCTGGAGCAAGGTGCTGTTTCCTAGGAAATGTTTATGGTGACACACTCATTTGTGCTTATATTAGAGCACACAGGCAAACCACTTCAACATGCCCTAGTTTAGGAAAAAGCTAAGCATTCAGTCAAACCAAAGATATCAGGTTAGAAATGGAGAGAACATTCTACTACTAACTATTGCAAAGCACATTATAGAAAAGTGCTCCATTAACTTCAACATGGTTTCCATTAGGGATGTGAAAGTGTAATTGTGTACACGGTTAACCAATGAGCCTGGACTCATCGGTTAACATGCATGGTTACACCCAGCCCTGTGTTGCTGCCTCTGTGTTAGAGGCAGCAGTGCAGGAGGGAGCCGGTATGCGCAAAAAGCCGGCTTTTAAGCCGGCTCCTGTGGAGCCGCCTACTCCCTTGTGCTGCTGCCTCTATCAGGCAGCAGTGCTGGAGGGGGGTGGTGCTTGCGTGGAGCCAGCTTCCTGCATGCAACCTCCCCTGCCCCGCTTGTAAATGCTGAAATTTTCAGTAGTTACACGTTTACATGAAGGGGAAAAAACACAACCATGTTAACATCCCTAATTTCCATCATCATATATATATAGTAGCCCAATGTCTGAGACTGCTGCCTCTATCAGGCAGCAGTGCTGGAGGGGGGTGGTGCTTGCGTGGAGCCAGCTTCCTGCATGCAACCTCCCCTGCCCCGCTTGTAAATGCTGAAATTTTCAGTAGTTACACGTTTACATGAAGGGGAAAAAACACAACCATGTTAACATCCCTAATTTCCATCATCATATATATATAGTAGCCCAATGTCTGAGACTCTAACGCTGAAATGCTATATAGTAGCCCAATGTCTGAGACTCTAACACTGAAATGCTAGCTGTTCCCTCTGGGCGGCGCTGTTGCCGAGTCACGTCCTTTGCCTCCTGCCGTGGCGCTCGGCTAACTTCTATGCCGCTCAGCCGGACCGCCGCGGGGGAGCAAGCGGACGTTTGGGCACCGCGGTCCTCGTGCAGCACAGGGGTGCTGTATGGGGAGCGCAGAGCCCAAACGGCCGCTTGCTCCCCCACGGCGGCCCGGGTGAGCAGCACAG